AGTTATCCTTTACTAGTTATAGGTTAAGCACAAATTTAAGAAATTTCTAAGTTAGATCATATCTCCAAGCAAATGACCATCACAGTGCATGATCTAACAAAATAACTTCTAAGGATATGTATAACAATTATATAAATAATACCAAAATTATGTGCAACAATTAAATTTATTAACATTACAATATTATTACATAATATGTACTATTGGATGTTCAAGGGAAAATTATTATTACTATTCCAGCACAACTATCATCCCCGTTGAGCCGCTATCGCCATCGAGTTGTCATTGTTGTTCTCCTCACTGCGGCGTCTTTCTTGCTATAGAGACGGGTTGGTATGATAGACTTGGAAATCAGGAGGAGATGAAGTGTCACTGTTGCAATGAGTATGGACATATCAAATACTAATGTCTTAAATTGAAGAATAAGGCATTAAGATTAGTTCATATAGACTATTCATTATCATCAGTCTCGAGATGAAATCAAGTCAACATTGATGCTTTTCTCAAGTTTGAGCAATGATGCTCGTATTTTGAATTCTCTTGCATGTGTGGTTTCCTTTGGTGAAGATTGTCCTTTCGAGATTACATTGGCAAAGATTATTTGGAGATTGGTTCGATAAGGATTATTTTGTTGGCTTGTTTGGATTATTCGGTTTATTTAGTGGACCTCTAAAGTGGATTCTTTGTTTGGTTGATGCTTGGAGAGGATTATTTGTTTGGTTGATCCGTTGAGAGGATAATCTGTTAGGTGGATTCCTAGAGAGAATTGTTTGTCTAGTGGATACTTAGAGAGGACCGTTTGTTTATTTAATCCCTGGTAAGGCTTTTTGTTTGGTAGACCCCCAAACAGGATCATTTTGTTTGGTCATCTATGAAGAAGATCGAGGTATCACAATTGTGAGTTTGCACAGAATACTTATGGTGGAAAGACATTGAAGTTGAAGACTAGAAGATCAATATTACTGCAAAAGGAAGTCACGCACAAAAGATTTTGAGCCTTTGAATCTCGTCATGAATTGGAGCGAGTGCATTTTATTTATAACAAGATGGACATGAATGTTATACATGTTCCAGCTTGAGGAGTGTTAGAAAAAAAATTTAGGGAATAAATAATATTAGGCAAGATATATTAGAAGTATAAACTAGAGATTCGAGATATTAGGAATGTGATTGAGATAATAATTATGATTAGTTAATTTTGTTTAGTCTCACATTGCGTACACACAAAACTTCTTGTTATTGTAACCCTATATAAAAGGGAATAGTTTTAGCTTTTGAGGAATAATTGAGAATATACCATTTTTTATTGTTGAACACTCCTCATAAGACTTCTTTAAAGACGCCAGCTTAGCCTCAACTCTGTCAGCTCTATCTTCAACGCCGAAGCCCGGTTAACCACGTCCCTTAACTCACTCCTCTACTTTTCCTCGAATTCTTTTACAACAGGAGCTATAGCCGTGAGGTCAGCAACCATGTCCTAAGCCGAGGATACTGTAACACAATGATGAACAACTTCAAAGCGAGAAATCAACTCCTCAGATAACCAGTCGTGGTGCTCTCTCATCTCGCAAAATAAAATTGAAAAAGGAACGTGTCTAGTATTGCATTGAGTAGATCTAGGCCCATTCCCTTAGGCTTATAGAGTGGCGAAAAGTCCTAGACAGATTTCTTGCAATCTATAGAAGAAAATCCGAATTAAGAAATCTCGAATTCAAGGCATGGAAGGGCCTCGACTCAGGCACTGTCCCAAGGTAAGTGCGAGCGGGATCGGAGCTCTTCCAGCAATGTTGGAAGTTGGTGGGGAAAAGTTGGACTTGTCAAGGGCAACATCATTTTTCTCTATTGCCTCTTACGGCTTCTTTTTATCCTCCCCCCTTATTTTATTTTCTTTGGCCTTAGCAGGGGATCGAGGAACAATCTTCTTAGGAATGGGGAGATCCTCGTAAGAGGGATCCCACTTCCATTTTGCCTTACTCAAAGTAGACTTCGAGAAAGGCAATATGTCCGAGGTTAAAGCAACAAAGGCTTGGCCTCTATCGGCCATAACCTTTTCTAGCTTGGACTTGGACTTCATCCACTTCTTTTCGTCATCCATAGGGGTGGGCAACTTTGGCGACCTCAACAAAGGAAGAAGGAGATTAGGGAATCGCGACGCTAGCATTGCAAAGAATAAATGAATATAAGGATTTGGTAGATGACTATGGGCCTCTAAATGCCTTAAGATGGTCAAGGTCTTCTTTACCTCCTTCCTCCAAAGTTTGCGCGTCCATCGCATTAGGATGAATGGGGTTCCAACTAACTGTGAACCCCAACTTCCCATTAGGATGAATAAAAAAAAACTTTGTCCTTCCAATGTTTGTGAGATTTGGGAAGGGCATCGATAACCTTGGATTGAAATCCCTGACGATAGTAAAAGTAGTAGAAGGGATCCACATATCTCTTCGTGGCAAATAAATTACTAAAAAGGTCAACAGAAGGAAGAACAGATAGATCCTCATATGCAACAAGGAAGCCAGCAACAATTGCTATGGAATTTAGTGGTCAAGAGATTGGGAGAGACCTCTAATTTGACGAGCATGTCAAGGAAAAAAGGGTGAAGAGGAATTCAAAGCCCGTACTCCAGTTGAGCGATTGTGAATTCACCTTTGTCTTGATCACAAGCAGCGGACCTATGATAGGGAAGATGAGTTGAATAAGTTTGGGGAATGCCGCATTCCAACTCTAAAGATCTAAGCTCATTCTGTGACATCTCATAGCGAAGGCACTTCAAGAAGTCGTAAACACTTCCATTGAATTGATAAGGGGTTGCCTTAGAGGAATTGAGGGCGGCCATTAGTAGGATCGAAGAAGTTAAATTTAGTAAAGAGAGATTAAAAGAAAGTAATAGGAGAATAACCGACTATGTTGCTTTTAAAAGGACTGGAGCTTGTTTAGAAAGAAAATTCCTTTCGAATTAACGAACGCTACCACAATGCATGGAAATTGTTAAGTGGTGAATGAAGTTGTAAAACCCCATAATTTTTTATATATAGTAATAAATAATAATAAATGAGTAATATTATGATAAATATCATTTACTAATGATTTAGTATGTTAGAAATCGATTTGAGATCAATTAAATACATATAAGTGTGTAAATAAGTGTGTACATAAGAGTACAGGAACGAATCATGCACAAAACTATGCACAAACCACTACCACATAATTGATCTATTGCAGCGGTTAAGATGCAGCGGTTTTAACTGTTGCGTTAGATATCTATCGCAACGGTTTAGAATACATAATACAACAATTTATAAAAAAACGTTACTATAGACCTAATAATTATCCCTGGATCTAATAATTGTTCCTTGGCTTTTGGAGATTAAGTTTTTAAAGCCCACGGCCCTAACCACTTAACCAAATATAATAATTGTTCCTTGGCTTTTGGAGATTAAGTTTTTAAAGCCCACGGCCCTAACCACTTAACCAAATATCTCCCTCAACTGTCGAAGACTTTTGCCCTGACCGCTTAACGAAATCCATAAAACTTTCTGCTCCCTAAAATCGCTCAACTGTCGAAGACTTTTGCCCTGACCGCTTAACGAAATCCATAAAACTTTCTGCTCCCTAAAATCGGGATGGCCAAAATTTTCTGCTCCCTAAAATCACCGTGGCCAAGATCAACATATAATCATCGATCTCATCACTGAATCTCATCTCTGCGCTCCCTAAAATCACCGTGGCCAAGATCAACATATAATCATCGATCTCATCACTGAATCTCATCTCTGCGCTCTTCACCTGGATTTCGATTTCGAAAACCCTAGAATTCTTCTTCGAGTCCACGAGCAAGGTCGATTTGATACAAGGGAAGCCCTAGCGATCCTCTCAACGTCGATCTTCATCCATTCTCAAGTAAGTTCGTGATTATTTAAGTATGTTTTTAGAAATTTCTGCGTGGATCGATTGATTTTCAGAAAAAATTATGCTAGATTGCATGAGCTTTTTTCACCAGTGATATCTGAATTTCTAGATTGGTTCTAGATTTTGATCTATTTCTCTAGAATTCCTGTATTATAAATTCAATTGATGTCAATTGTAGTCAAATTTGCTAATTTGCTTGGTGCTCGTTGGGTAGAAAATAAGGGAAAATGCTGAAAATTTTGAATAAAGAAAAGAAATGCATTGAATCTAAAGCCTCCAAATCTCGAGAGAATAGGGTTTCAGAGGTAATCTCACTCTGGCGCTCAAATCCCTTTTCATCTCTCTGACGTTTGAAATGAAACCTGTGTTTTTTTGGTTAATCATCGTTGATATGTTGTGAGAAAGTTGCAATTTTTACTTTTTTTTAAATGCTCGTTCCTTCTCAATTTGTGCCTTTTAATCAAATTGAGACCCTATGATTCCATCATTCGTTTATTTCTGAGACCCTATGATTCCATCATTCGAGCTTCACATTTTGTAGTTTAGGATCTGATGTGCTATAGTTCAGTTAAATATCAATCAAGTGCTGGGTTACGTGAGTTCTTTTATGATGAAGCCGTACCCGTACCCGACACATACCTTGGACGTCCCTGTATCTAAACTTCATGGACACTCATTGGATCTATGCATACATTCAGACATGTACTCAATTATATTATATATGTTTTGATTTAAAACACATGTCATATGCTTCTTGGACGTATATCCTACCCTTCATGTCCATTTATGGAAACTCGTTAGAAATGGGTCGGGTTTGTTTTAGCCCCTATCCAATTAAAAACTATGATTTAAAATGGTGGTTTTAGTGTCTAATTAAAAAATAGGCACTTTTTAGTTTACAATATAATAATAATCAACATAATGAAAGAAACTTACTGCATCTAATGATCTCATATTGAATATTTTTAAATTATAACAAATCAGAGGAAATTATGACCCACTGATATTGTCATTTCAGGTTTCAATTTTTTGGTGGTGCTCTTGATAATTCATGTTGGTAGTCAGGATTAGTGTTTGGTTTATTTCTATTTTTTCTGTTTATTCTCTTTGCTATAGCCTTCTGAAAGCAAGCTCCTTTAAAATATTTATGATTCTTCCTTTTTCTGATGCTCCTTCTGTTTATTCTCTTTGCTACAACATTTGGGTTATTTGCTCTTCTGTTAATAGCTCATTGAAAGAGAGACTCAGATGTTTAAACAATATTTTATCTTTGCAGTAAATTGTGAATCTGAGGATCATGGTTTGGACTTTGAAGAAACTGTAGCCACTATTTTGCTCAAATGGAAGAGGTTTTGATGTAGGTGAGTGATTTTCTCTCTCTTTTTTAATATAAAAGAGAAAGTGTAGCCATCTGAGGATCAATTGTCTCCTTATTTACCAATGTTACTTGAGCTTTTTTTTCCTTCTAATAGTTAGTTTAAAAAAATTACCTTTTCAGTTTGTTGCTAACATGATATTTGATACGTTTCTTTATTTTTTGTAGGGGATATAAAGACTTAAATAGGAGAATGCGGTTAAGATGGCTTTGATATATGAATCTTTTGGAACAGACTTGTACTTTTGAATTGATCATATTTTGATGGTTGTGAATTGATCATATTTTGATGGGTTGAAGTTACCTTGTAACTACTTATTTTTGAATGATGGGCTTAAAACATATGAATGCTTCATTATTTTTTATTTTGATGATATCTTAATGTAGTGTGTTCTTATTCCATTTTTATTTTGGTTTACGTAACTGTGTTTGCTTATTGGTCAAATTTCTTGAAAAGTGCTGATATAGCCCTGTAAAACTGTTGCCGTAGCCCTATAAAACTATTGCCATAGCAAAGCAAAACGTCGCATTAGCTACAAAATAAATGTTGTATTTGATCCCTGATTTTGGAAAAACCGCTGCCCTTGTGTATGAAACCGCGACATTAGGTATCAAAAAACCATCGTTTGCAACTGTTGCATTTGCAATAACTGTTGCCTTTGTGTATGGAACCGTTACATTAGGCATAAGTAAACCGCTACAGAAAACGTTGTATTTGGTGAAAACCGTTGCGTTAGCCTCGTCTTAGAAACCGTTGCATTAGGTTGTGAAACCGCTGCCTTATGTCTAGGGCAACGGCAGCAATGAAGACAGATTGTTAACCGCTGCGCTTGTGCAATTGCAACGGTTTAAATGCTAATGCGACAGTTTTAAACCGTTGCGTTAGAGCAAATATGTGGTACGTTGAACACAAAGCTCTTCTGGACGGTCGACCGCTAGGCGATCGGTCGACGATGATACCCAACGGTTCGACGATCGGTTGTGGCAGGTGAGATCGGGTGTGGCAGTCGTCGACGCGGGCTTCTAGAGCTGCGGGCTTCGGTTTTCGGACCGTCAGTTTGTATGAGCTTCGAGCCCAGTTATATACATAAGTATATATATTCGTTTTAACCTCATTTCCTTCATCTTTTCACTGATTATTAGCAGCCACCGTCTCCTCTCAAAACCCTAACCCTAAATTGTGATTTGGGAGAGTTCGTGCAGCGCGTTTATTCGAGAGGAGGTATTGTTGCTTATAGAAGAATAACTGACTTAATGGTTTGCTTTATAAAAGGACTGGAGCTTGTTTAGAAAGAAAATTCCTTTCGATTAACGAACGCTACCGACAATGTATCGGAAATTGCATTAAGTCGTGAAGAAAGTTGATAAGACCCCTAATTTTTTATATATAGTAATTTAATAATCAATAAATGCATAATATTATGATAAACATCATTTACTAATGGGTGAGTATGTTAGAAATCGATTTGAGATCATTAAATACATATAAGGTGTATATAAGTGCTGCATACATTAAGTAGTACAGGAACGAATCATGCCACAAAACTATGACACCACACAAAGTCTCTGGTCGGTCGACCGCTAGGCCGATCGGATCGACTGATGATACCCAATCCGTCGACCGATCGGTTGTGGCGGGTCGACCGATCGGTTGTGGCAGGTCGACCGACGGGCTTCTAGAGCTGCGGGCTTCGTTTTCGGGTCAGTTTTGTATGGCTTCGAGCCCAGTTATATACATAAGTATATATATTCGTTTTAAACCTCTTTCCTTCATCTTTTCACGTGATTTATTAGCAGCCACCTCTCCTCTCAAAACCCTAACCCTAAATTGTGATTTTGGGAGAGTTCGTGAGGCGTTTATCGAGAGGAGGGCGGGATTCACAATCTGGCGGAAGAAGGATCTTGCACGCACTTGTTTGGGAGTTCAACACGACGTTTGAGGCAAGATCATCTTCCTCCAAACCTTTCCCTTAGTTAAAAATCATGTTTTTAGTGAATTAATTGTTTTAATCTAATGCTTAAAGCTTAATCTGATGTTTTCAAAACCTAGATTTGCGATATAAAATCTTAAACCCATGAAGAGATCAGTTGAACTAATCTGTAATTTATAGAAATAGATGATCATGATCATTAGAGCCGTATTTAATTGTTAATTTATGTTTTAATGTGGTTTAAAACCATAGTTTATTAATTAATTGAGATTTTTTGTTAATTAGGATGTTTAAACCCTAAGTTTATGATACCTAGGGGATGTGATCTTGATTAAACTAATCTATATTTGTGTAATGAACAGAGTTAATCATGTTTAATTAATCATGCTAATAAAAATCAATTATTGAGTAAAAGTGCAACACACAAAACCTGGAAGAATTTCCTATTTCCTGTAATCGGTCGACCGATCCTTAGGAATCAGTCGACCGATTGTGTCGTCTAGGATATTTAAATCCTTTCTGATCGGTCGACTAGCTGAGAGCAATTGATCGACCGATATGGTCTTTTTCGAGTGCACTTTGTGCACATTTGTAATCGGTTGACTGATGCCCTAGAGGCAGTCGACCGACACTTGTTTTCTTTTGTTTGAGGTGATTTTTCGTGTACGCTTAGTTGTGAATGCGGAGTTCAAGCCGTACGATGACACAGGTGCAACCATGGGTGTACACAAATAGAATTATGGTACATACACGGATATCTCGGAGAGGATTTCTACAGGTATTGTTTTGATCTTGTTTGAGTTAATTATTAATTATAATACGTATGCATGTATGGATATCATTGATGAGCAGAGCTCAGTACTACTTGGGATAGTGCGTCGATATGCCATTAGTACAGACCATTGAGTCGTGATTTTAGGATACCTGATTTGGTAATCCTTCCCGCACGGTGATGCGATGAGGCTAGAGAGTCGGACTTCTAAGATGCCTGATGTGGTAGTCCGTCCCACACGGTGATGCGATAAACTAATGAGCTGTGTACATAATTAGGATACCGGATTTGGTAGTCTGTTCCGCATGATAATGCAATGAGTTATAAAACCTTACAAGACATTATATTGTGAATATCTGATAGCCTGAGTCTTTGACGGAAGCCATTTATGAATACGATTCATCGCTGAGTTATATTGTCACCGGATTACTTCGCGTTTGGGAGTTACAGGAAATTTAGTTCTTGTATCCACATCATCTACTCAAGGGTAGCGCGAGTTATATGGTTGATATTTATGATACTACGGCAACTTTACTTTTCTGTATTACTTTCCTTTATCATTTATTCTTAGTTTGGAATTGGTATTTAACGATTCATAATTTGAGACATATGGTATATACACGAGGGTTTTCTTGTTTGGGTTATTTCGCTCGACGTACTACGTCTCGTGTTGGGGCTTTTAAATATTAATCTCATTTAGATACAGGGTAAATGAGTTAGGTAGACTATGCATAATAGATAGAGCATCGATCATATTTAGTAGCCCTTCTTCTGGGGGCGGATGAAGATGATCTTGCTAAAGCGCTCTGACGCTGTTGTTATTTTCCTTTTTATTTTCCCTTCGTTTCAGGCAGCGAATCAGAGTGTCGGAGAGCCGTAGGTTGACGGATTTACAGCATAGTTACCGTCGCTTATTTTTAGTAGTTGATACTCCAGAATTATTTATTTATGGTTTAGTTGATCATTAGACTTGTACTTCATTTTGAGAAGGCTTAGTGTCTCAGTTTGTTTTCATTTGACTCTATGTATTAAGTTACTTCGCATTTATTTCAGACATCAGTTGTACTTAGTTTTTATTCAGTTATCAGTTAGTATGTTTATTTAGATATCTCTTCTCTTTCTATGTTATGTCCATTGCATTTATTACTCTTATTTTGCATGTTTTGTACCTACACTTGTTATTGATTCTACTAGAGGGATATTCTTGTGATGGTAAAACATGTTGTTGCACGGTGTGGGTGCATGACAGGTTTGATATTCTTGGATTCAAATTGGACTACAGCCTTGTGTGAAAGCAGGGGCGTCATTGTTGGTATCAGAACTCTAGTTCCAGCATCTTTAGGATCTTTTTGTGTCGAGTCATGGAGCTAGGATAGAGTTTTCTAGAATTCATGTATAGAGTCTGCTAGGAATTCCTAGAATGAGTGAGGACGTTATACGTATAACTTGAAAATTTTGGAAATTTTTTCTATGATACCTATGTTAATTTCGTATTTGTGTGAATGATATGTGATACGTATTACTGTTGATATATGTTATGATATTTTTCTTGAGGTCTCATTTACTGTGTCTTATAAACTCTCTTCCTAAAAATTTATATATGGTCGGACGTGGACGTGGACGTGGAGGATCTCGTACTCAGAGAGTTAGGTAAGCTGAGCCAGAGCCTGAGACACAGCAGGCTCCAGCCGAGCCGCAGCAGGCTACACCCGAGCTGCAACAAGCCCTACCTGAGCCGCAGTAGGCTCCGTAGTATCTGATTGACCTCATGGTACCTATTCCAGCCAGGCTAGTAGCGCTCAAGGAGCAATTGGCGAACCAGATTCCACCAGTTGCACCACGACTTGTGGTTTCATCACCAGTCATACCAGCTATACCTTTTGCAGAGGAATTCCCAGATGTTACACTAGGAGTTACACCACCACCAGTTGCCGATAGAGCCAAGGAGTAGGAGACTTGGCTCCGTCTAGTTGAGAGATACCAGAAGATGAGGGAACTAGAATTCTAGGGATCATCAGACTCACTTGTAGCCCACAAGTAGAAAGCAGATGTGGGAAATATTCTTAACCTACTTGATGTGGACTCCGTCCAGAAGCAGCGGTTGGCAGCTTTCAGTCTTAAGGGTGATGTCAGCGAATGGTATAGGCTTCAATTCACACTAGAGCAGCGGATGATGCTTACTTGGGAGGACTTCATCTACTTTTTCGATGAGCAGTACATCTCTTCCGCAGTAAGGGCCGGAAAAGAGTTAGAGCTATCCAGATTGGAGCACGGGGACATGTCCGTAGCTGACTATGAGGGCAGATTCATGAGCTTGCTTCGATTCACGGATATGTGGCAGACAGGAGAGCGTCAAGCTCAAATGTTTTTGATGGGACTTCACCCAAGCCTTCGCCGCTACCTTGTTTCTAGACGATTCCGCTCAGTGCGAGAGGTAGCCGACAATGCTATTTCGCTGGAGACAGAGGAGGGCATTACAGTGGATCTAGCAAAGGTTGAGGCAGTACTTGATTGGGAGCCGTCGAAGACCGTTATAGAGATTTATAGCTTTTTAAGTTTGACCGGCTATTACAAGAAGTTCATTCAGGACTTCTCGAAGA